AAAACGACGTTTCGGAGATGGGACTCTATCTCCGTCTTCAGGTTCCTACACAGTTGGGCCCACTAGATAGAGCTAATCCCTATCTCCGGAGATAGGAACCTGAAGACGGAGATAGAGTTCCATCTCCGAAACGTCGTTTTTACGTTTTATATTTACTAGACGATGGATAATATCCAAGAAAATTTTTATTCAATTGGTTTTTTGTTTGTTTGACGTCGAATAATTTGTATGAAAAAAACCCACAGAACGTGATATTTGGCACCGAATGTTTTCTGCAAAACATCAGACTAAACACATGTTAAAGGATAACGAAAACTTTTAACAAAACATCACACAAAATATTAGAAATACATTATCTGATGTCGAATCACTTCACCAAAAGCGCGGGTTCGGGTGGAAACGGTGATATTTTGCAGTGTTAGTGCGTTTATACTGACAAACGATGTATTAGTGGAACATCGTAAAAGCTTAAGGATGTGAGCAACATTTTTCATTCTCGTTACTGGCCAATACGGGGTTGAGTTCTTGTTTCATGTCGCACTGAATGCAGAAATTCCAAGTGATTTGTAGGATTTGACGTTTACACGAAGGTGAATCTGAATCTTTTGGGTCCTTGCGCCGTTTAGTCTAGCAGAAGTTTGCAGCCGTTTCGGAGATCCTTGTTGCCTCCATCATCAGGGCGATGACGAAGGCAGTAAAATTAGGGAATACAGCGGAACAATACATATAAGAATAATTCTGCGTCTAGATCATGCACACGGACAGATTTCTCGATTACTCTCGCATTTCGTCACGTTATTAGCCTCACTCGAGTCTTTCACGCAAGATTCTTAGACGTATTTTTTGAAATGTCATTTAGGTTACAGTCGATCGTGGTTCAGGCAGACGAGGAAGTTAAACAGAAGTTCCAGGACGACATCATGCCGATCTCCAAGGAGTGCATCGCTCTGCATGAACTGAAGGAAGGTAATGAATGAACGTCTATTTGGTACATACACTAACTGCCTATGAAATAGGAAAATACAAAAATATTCATTGGGAAATATCGTAAAGAAACAGACCAATTGAGGGATCAAATCGAAGGTGACGAGATATCACATACGGATTGGACGTTTCTACCTCGAGAAAGAGGCTAGGCCAATTTATAAACTAAAAATATAAACAGAATGACGCACGGAATTATACCGGATTGAAAGTTGAAATAAAAAACTTTAATATTCATCTTATTATTATTTAGTGTTCTGTCTGACGACAGGTCCATATGAACAGGATCCTTCCATCCTTTTCTCGGACTGGGACCTGTTCATATACGTTCTTGGCAGAAGATCCAGAAGTGGTTTGCCATTGCCTTCTTAAGTGTGTGAATGGAGAAACCGGGGAAGCCCCCGGAGGAAAACTCCGTGTTCCCTAGAC